AAGAGAGAGAGAGAGAGAGAGAGAGAGAGAGAGAGAGAGAGAGAGAGAGAGAGAGGATGAATCCAAAAGGACCTACCTCAAGAGTCTAACAGTGGTTCCCCTGGGAAACAGAGCAGATCAGAAAAAACAGTATTCTGCATTTTATATACACCTATACTCTCATTCGATTTTTTTTTTACAAGTATATAGTTCTTTGGAAACTAAGTAAAAAATCTATTTCTGCTGCACTCTCACTTAAGTGTATGTGCATGCACAAGGAGAAGAAAGAGGACAGCTTGTATCAGTGACTATCTTTGCAACAGGAAGGGGAACGGCCTTTCCTAGGCAGGAAAGGCCATGCAGAGGACTCACTGGTAGGGTACAAGGGTAACCAGAATTCACCAGTCGCTCACCTGGCATCTCACCGAATCTTGGGCAAGAACTGTGTCCGCGGCATTGCGAACCCCATGGGAAATGTGCCATTCTGACCTTTGTTTTTGAAATTTCATGGGGCTAGCCTTTCATCCTTTACCTCGCCCCTTTTATCTGCAAAAAGGAGCACCTACCTTCCCACAAAACTTGGAACAGACTGCTAAAGCTGTATCTAGAAGAACTCTCTTATCACACATAACACTGCATAAGTAAAAAATAGAGCTCTGATTAATACTAGATTGAGTGCCCTTAAAGCTATTTTTTTTAATTAAGTGCTCTATACAATTTGGGCATTTCAGAGTTTGGAGAATCTCAGGATCCTTGAGTTTCTTCCTAATTTTGAAGGAATTCCTTCTAAGGACATTTGCCCAGTTCACCAATATCCTATGAGGAAAACAGAGTTCATATTTTTCCCCCTCTTTTTGTTCTGCTAGCAGACAGATTACTCTGGGGAAAAAAGCTAAGATCTTTTCAGAAATGAAAAGGTAAACTGTCGCGGCTAATTGGTGTGATGCTCCTCCAGTGAGTGACTTAGAACTTATATCAAATTTCCTCACAGGGAAAAGCAAACCAGGATCTTATACAGAATAATAAACATTTAATCCCTCATGTTGATGTTAACACAAAACATATCAGATATCCACTGCTAGTATCTTCACCCAGCCGTAATGATGAGATACTGAGAAATTATGGGTTCTGAACTACTGCTTAAAAACTGGCAAGGGAGATTCCTCTTTGCTATGCTGGTGTTTGAAAGTGATTTGAGACCATCTGCGAGTCAAGTTACAAATCACAGCAAAATGCTTTCTTTATTCATGATGTTTGTTTTTTCTTTCCGGAATAACAATGCTGAGACACTCATTTTTCACACAATGACTTGAAACAACTTCTTAAAGATACTTTGGCTTGTATGCTAATTTTTTCTAGTTTTAACTTGGTTTAGCAAAGCCCTGATACTTATAGTCACTTCATCAATGAGTCAAGCATTCCTTGTTTTGGTCCCCTCCCTCCCCAATCCAAAGAATCTGCCCTGAGGAACTCTCCCTAGGATATTATTTGTCTTACTCTGTTGTTCTCCAAATTTTTATTATTATTATTATTATTATTATTATTTTATGTATTTAGTACAAGGTCTACAGGGTCTCACTACGCAGATTGGACTCATAATGATCCTCCTGTTTTCAGCCTTCGAAACACTGGGATTACAGGCAGAGCTGGAATGGCATACTGGGAATTGGACTCCAGATGCTGTGTCTGCCTAAGCAGGTGCTTTAGTCCACTGAGCTATCTGGCCAGCCCTGATAAATTATTTCTTGACATATTCCTCTTTGCCAGTGGTGTTCTGCATGGTACCACATGGTGGAACTGGATGGTCATGGTGCTGCCATACACAGAGGTCAATGTGATGGTTCTAAGGGTCAGAAGACCTGCCCTATCAGATGAGTTTAGACCTTACAGGTTCAAGTTTCTCTCTTTTCTGGCCAAAGCTCAAATCTAGTATCAGAGTCCTGTGTCTCGCTTTTCTAAGAACAACAATTAGAAACTTCTGTCCATTTGGGAGTAGATTGATTGCTTGTGTTGAGTTCCCTTCATTTTGCTGATTAAATGACCCACAATTTACTAAGAGGCTATGACTTTTTCCATGTTTTGACTACTTTAGTCAAATAGTAGAAAACTTAGATGATGCAAGGGGACAATCACGATATGGCTCAAGAGTTGGGGTGTAGCGTAGTGGTAAAGCATGAACTTAGCATGTGTGTGGCCCTGGGTTCAATCACATCAAAAAAGAATAGGAGAAATAGGGTGAGGGAAAGAAGAGTTGGAGAGGGGTGGTTGAAGAAGGGGTGAAGAGAGAGAGGAAAGAATGGGAAGGGAGGAAAAGAAAGGTAAGAGGAGAGTGGCTTAAGTAGCAGGCTATGAGGAGGGAATGAAATGTTTGAAGAATGAGAACTCTTGGGCCAACTAGATAGCTCAGCAGACTAAAGCATCTGCTTAGGCAGAACACAGTGGCAGGGATTCAATCCCAAGCATGCAGTGCCAGTTTCACCCCTGGGGCGTGCTGAGACAGCGATTGAAACTGGGCATGCTGGTGTGCGCCCGTAATCCTAGCACTTGGGTGGCTGAAAATAGGAGAATTACTGAGTTCAATCTATATAACAAGACCCTGTAGACCCTGTCCTAAATACAAAAGAAAGAAAAAGAAAAAGAACTATCCTAGAGACAGTTGTGGCAAGCCACTGTTGGAAGGATTTCTTTCTGTTATGACTTTTCTCTTCTATCCCACCTCCCACAGCCTCATTTCTTTGCAGCCCTGCTCTAGAACTACTGAAGAAATATGGAGCTTATCTTGCCAACTCAGGATAAATTCCTTCACAGAAAGACAAAGAATCCTATCTCTGAGTTGCCACAGACACTGACATACAGTGGTCCCCTCGTGAGTATTAGCTGGTTTGCCTATGACTTACCTAACATCATTTCCTGCATATAAGATGATCATGGTTTTTTTAGCCAATTCAGAATGCTTTGAGCATAAAAGAGGGTTCTGTTAATAATTACACCAAGGTACAATGCATAGATTGAGATGGTCCTTGAGATCCATGGCCACCACGCATATTTACCATGCTTAATTCAATTTGTACGACACCACATTGGAGTCCGGGAGTGTGTGCAGGAGGGTAACTCTAAACTCCAGATCTTAAGGTGGACAGGAAGCTCAGACTCTTACAAACAGGAAATATGGCAATGCTGGCTTTCTACTACTGACTTTTGTCTCAGTATTTTTGAACTTTAAATACTACCTGAGATCACTGTATCTTTTGTGAAGGATATTTGCAGTGAAGGAAGGCTGGAAATGCAATAGTAAACACAGGGAGTTCTAGACTTACAGTCCCACCCTTCTTAGCTTGATGAGTGTGTGATCCATACCAGTGCCATGTTGGATGGACCATCCTAGACACCAAGGAAAACCAGGCCTATGAGCTCCCAAATCCCTCTCTATGTCACACCATATGACACCTTTACTTCCACTCATGAGGCATACTTACAATTTTCACAGCGCTGACCAGTAAAGCCTGCCAGGCAGGCACATTTATAAGATCCACTTGCATCCAGGAGGCAAGTGCCATCATGCAAACAAGGGGACGATGAACAGGCTGGGAAGGAAAAGACATTCCTTAGTGTCAAGGCACCTTGAGTCCACGCCTCCAAGGCCACAGTCTTAACCCAAAGCTTTCATTTGACTTCTTACAATGTTTTTATTCTTCATGCTGAGTTCATGTTCCTACTATTGGACCATGCATAAAACTGATACTTGTTAAATATTGGGTGCTTCTGGCACTAACTGACACCCCAGATGTATGCTCAAGGTACCTCTAGACTGAGGAGCATAAGACAAACACAAACAAGGGAGAAAATTAAGCTAATGAGCAAAAAACACACTTATTCCCACAGGGACTCCAGAAAAACCCTTGGGTAACTTTATAGTTCATTTTTTCCAGAAGGCTCTGGTACAGGTACAAAGAGAAAGCCACAGGCACGTATCTTTAGGAGCATATTGAAGATGTACTCAAGAATTTCTAAGCATATATTCTGTAAGCACTGGTCCCTTGCCATATTGATATATCTACACTTTTCTGCTGGATGGTTAAGACCAAGTGAACAACACAAGCATTCACTATTCCAACATATATTTAGCTCAGTGTAGAAATATATCACTTGGCTCACTTCAACAAATTATTGAGTGATTGCTCTGTGGAAAGCAGTGCAGAGATACAAAGATGTTTAGGACATTCTATTTGCTAGATCAAAACTGTGGATATAAAAGTATACAATAACTATAATTTGAATTATGGTGCAATTAGTGTACTAGGAAATAGTGTTACAGAGTAGTCAACAAAAGGCAAAGTCACAGCTCATTGGAACAAAAGAAAACATTGAGTAGAAGGGAGAGAATGTGATACTTATCACAAAGCATGAGTTAGGCTTGGCCAACATGACCTTATCCAGAGAGAATGACTTCTATACAAGCAGACATAGAGGAGTTTGAGGAATGACATTTCCTACTATGTGCCAGGGCAGAAGTGTGCCATTTCCCAGAGTTTTCGTAGAGCAGTAAAGGAGCTCATTTCAGGGAAAGATCCTCCCTTAGTCACAAGGTCACAGGTTGATGAACTGCCACTGCCCCCAGGTAGCTTCCCTCACACCCAGCATTGATTGGCCAACAGCCCTAAGACATACCTGGCAGGAAACTCTGATTATCCTCTGCCTGCACAGGAACATCATGAGATGAAGGTCTAGCCACATGCTGGCCACACCATAGCACAGAGCAGCTAGGACTCCCAGGCCTTGCACAGTGCCATAGGTACAGAATGGAAAGGACACAGGCACCCGGACTACTTGCAGCAACCACTGAGGGTTGGCACGGGCAACAGGCATAGCTGGTTTCTCTGAAAGCATGGGACTTGAGAGACACTGATTCCACAACCTTCCACCTCCTTTCCTGAGACTTTCACATCAGACCTTCCTCCTGAGGAAGCCTAGATGATGTGAATGCCATTGCAAATTTGTTTTATTCTAAGTATTCAGTACTTGAAATAAATGGCCTTCAAACTGAGTTCACTTTGTAACATGCAATGCAATCGAGTTTCAGAACAATGAGCGCTGGGATGATTCCTTAGAACTGATCAATTTGTTCATTTTGGTCATATCCTATCTGTAGCTATTATCAAAGAGAGCAGGAGTTTAAGTCAAGCTTAGAGTTATTCAACAAATAAATAACAGCTGCGATTGTAGTTTAAGGAGGCACATGGAGGCTAAGGGTGTGCTTGAAGCTGGGTGACCACTGAGTGCTTCCTGTCTCCTAGAGTGCACGGCCACTTCATTGGTTTTGTCTTCCAGAGTCCCCTTAAGGAACAGAATCTGCTGCCATTCCCTTATTTCTATTGAGGAAACAGAAGCCCACAGAGGTAGAAAAGAGCACCCCCACCAAACACCCATCATAAGTTCTACAATCAAGACGTTTGTGTGCAAACCCCTGCTCTATCCTCATAGCTGTGTGGCCTTGGACATATAATCCAGCCTCTTTATGCTCCAGCTAACTGCTCTGTATAAATAGATAATGATTTCTATTTCTGTGTCTGACTGAGCTTTTCTGATTGGTGGCTGGCATTTTCTCTCTTACTTTTTTTTTTTTTTTTTTTTCCAATATTGGCTGCTTCAGAGAACTCAATACGAAGAGTTGGTTTTTTTTTTCCATAATTTTATTGAGAAACAAATAGCAATGAGACAGTTTCAAACCAAATTGGTAGGACAGTTTCAATAATTAACACATTCATACATTCTTCCTAGTGGTTAGTTGCTGTACAAGAGGCGGACTTGATAGCCTATTTACAAACAAGAGTTTTAATAAGGTTCAATAGGAAGAAAGGGCAGCACACTTAAAGTTTTTATGGAACAAGTCATAAAATAACCACACTCCCAAAATTTTTATAGAGATTTAATGTAACCCTGATCAAAATACTGACAGCGTATCTCTTGGAATTAAAGAAAGCAATCTTAAAATATATCTGGAACCAGATAATACCTAGAATATCAGAAACAATTCTGGGAAACAAAAGCAAGTCAACAAGCATCACAAACTCTGACTCTAAATCATATTACAAAGCTACTATGATAAAAACAGCATGGCACTCACAAAAAATGGACCTGAGGATCAATGGAACAAATTAGAAGACTCAAAAAATAACTACAAACACACTCAGCCACCTTATTTTGGACAAAGGGGCCAAACACCCTCAGTGGAAGAAAGATAGCCTCCTGAATAAATGGTGCTGGAAAAACTGGCTTTCCATATCTCAAAGACAAGAGTTAGACTCATTTCTATCACTTTGCACTAAACTAAAATAAAATAGATCAAATATCTAAAATCAAAGCAGAAACATTAAATCTTCTGGAAGATAGAGTAGGTAGAACTCTTGAAGGCATTGGGGTAGACAAAGACTTCACGAAAAAAAAAGACTTCAAGGGAAATATTACAAAGAATCAACAAATGGGATCTCATCTTTTAAAAAGGCTTTTGCACAGCAAGAGAAAAATCACCAATGTAGTACCACTCAGCCATAAAGCAGGATAAACTTGAGACATTTATAGGTAAGCGGATGGGCCCTGAGATGCTAATCTTAGGTGAAGTAAATGGAATTCACATGCATAAATATCTCATTGTTGCTCTGGTGTAAGAAAGCAAGAGTATAAGGAGCAAAATGTATACTAGATAAATATTTTTGAAATAGGGACAAAATGCTCAATTGAGAGAGGAACTAGGGAGATGGGAGAGGGAATGGAAGGAGGAGAAAAGAAAAAAAACAGGGAGAAGTGAAAACAAAGCTTTTGTAAATGACAAGGGAAAGAGGGATTGAAGGAGGATAAAGGAATTGAGATAAATCACATACAGGTACAATGTCCCTATAACGAAAGTGATCACCAGGTGTATTCAAAATGTACCAATAAGCTCAATAAAGAAATTAAGATAGAGACAGAGAGACAGAGCGAGATCATTCTCTGTGATTTTGACTGTGTGCTCCTCTGCCAGGGTCTGCAATTTCAGGTCTGTGACCATTTCTAGACCCATCCATGCTCACGCTGGTGAGTACAGAAAGCGCTCTGGTTACAGATCTGTGCCATATGCAGGAACCAGTAGGCAGTAGGATTAGCTTGAGGGTGCAAAAAGAATCCCATATAAGGTGTGATGAAAAAATGGTGAATATTTTAATTTCTAAAATTTATGACAGTAAAAGACACACTGCTATTACCCCCCTCAAAATATTCTGCATCGCGTTGAACACATTTACCCCATCATGACTGCCACTTTCTGAAGCGGTTCTGGGTGTGCTCTTTCATTAGTGTCTTTAGCTGCACTGTTATGGCTACCCTCAATATCCTGAACTGATTGAAACATGTTTACTTTTTCATGGTCATTTGATCTTGGAGGAAGAGCCAGAGGTCACACGGCATCAAACCCAGTGAACAGGTATGTGAAGAAACACTTCAATGTTTTTACCACCTCCCTTTCCATTGGATGTAGCAGCAGCGGCAGCAGCAGCAGCAGGCACCACATTTTTATCATGCCTGATAAAGACACCCATGAAAGAGGACTTCAGAAACACTTCAGAAAGTGTTGGGAATGATGGAAATAGTGCTCTAAAAGTGAGCAGGGATATTTTGAGAAGGATTAATAGCAATGTCTGATGCTAATAACTTTTTTCAAACATTCAGCATGCATTTGGTTATATGTCACCATGCCTTTACCTGTGATCTCCTCATAAATGGCATGGAAGCCATCAAAGTTCTTGGAGCCATCAGAGTGGAAGAGGACATGGAGTGCAGAGCCCGTGCTCCGGATAGGGGCTGGCCGCTCATTGCCACAGAGACGCTTGATAATGGGACTGTCACTGTTGTCTCCATTGCGGATCTCCACGTAGTCATACTGGCACATGTAGTCAAACTCCAGACTCAGCATGACAAACCTGCAAGGGGGAGCAAGGTGACAAAAGTTATAAGTGGGAAGTCCTAAGAGACAATAGACAATGGCATAGCACCTGCCTTCAGGAAGACAGATAATAAATAAGCACGGAAACATAAAAAGCAAGGTAATTCCAAAGAGTGCTAAGTAGTATGTATAAATTAACCAGGTCAGAGCAAAAAGAGGCGGAGGAGGGCAGGTTTCCAACACAGTACAGTGAAAGAAGACCTCTCTGAGGACCTGGCACATGAGCAGAGATTTAAGTGACCCAATGGAGCCTGACCTGTGAAGATGGTGAGTTAGAGTTCTAGACCGGGGACTCTGAAAACTCATCTCTCAGGCAGCAATAAGTCTGGCATGTTTGAGACCCTGCAAGAAACTCCAAGGTGCTGGAGCTCTGAGTGAAAGGCAGAGAAGTCAGATGTGATGTCAGGGAGAACAGTGAGTGGCAGGTCCTGCTTGGGGAAGAGTGCCAATCACAGTCCAAGGCCAACAGAAAGCCACTGGAGGTCACACAAGACAATGGTCACTGGATTTAGGCCCAGTGGAGAGGATAGTGCCGAACTGCAAAAGTGGAGGCACAGCAGCTAGTTAGGAGCCAAGGTAGCATCCCAGTGAGAAATGGTAGCAGTCTGGAGTAGCCTGGTAGTGGTGGGAATAGAGGGAGGTATGTGGCCTTGGGGTTATTTAACAGGCAAAATAATAATAATAATAATAATAATAATAATAATAGATATTTTCATTTTGCATGTCCTGGATGTGGTGTTAGAAATGGAGCATGAGGAGTGACTAGTGAGCCTTCAGGATAGTGTACACAGGTTTCCAACATTACGGTTGCATTTCAACAAGAGCTTCAGGTTGAAATACATGGAACAAAATCCCATATTTCCATGTCTTTCTCAGGTTCTTTCCAAGGAAGGTTAACTACTTCTCATTCCTCTACTATTATATTTGGGAGGATCTCAGAGAGGCTCTTCAGAGGTTTTCAGTGGGCTTTTTTTTAAAGACAATTTTTTTTTCTTTTGTGGTACTGGGGATTGAACTCAGGACCTTGCGCTTGCCAGAGAAGCTCTTATTCTACTGAGCTATCTCCCCAGCCCTTCAGCAGGCTTTTGTTCAGCCCCTCAGCCAGGCTTCCTAGTGAAAAGTGCAAATAAGGAGCTTCACTGCTCATCCTAAGGCCTTGGGATATGGGGACACTAGCTCATGGGTGGTTTTGATAAGGAGCATGGAAAGGGATCCAGTTTGGCTTGGTCCTTCCAATTTGGAGCTCCACGTGGTCCCTTATAGAGGACAGAAAGCCATTCAAAAAGCCAATGGGGATGCAGTGACTTTGGGGTGCATTAATCCATCCACCTGGAAAACTCTTGGGGAGAGTTTGTCCCCTAGGGAATCAAGTATTTCAATCACTTATACTCTCACCACTGGGAAAAAAGGAGAGAGAAGGGGAAGTGAAAGGAGGAGAGGGAAGGGAGAAGAAGAAAGCACCTCTTCACCTTTATCCTCCTCCCCTAATGTTTCCTGATGGCTCAAACTCCTGAGTTCCAGCCCTATCCCCTCACCTCAGTTGGATGATAAACCCAGGTTTGGCATGAATGGTCCATTCACAGCGAGCATTCAGGGGGTAACTCTCCAACAAAATCTGACCCTTTGGGGCTCGAAGAACCTGGCCACATCCTGAGAAAAGAAGAAAAGGTTGGGACATGGAGATTCAGGTCAAAACAAAAAAGATGGGAGACAGTCTCCCAAGAGTCGCAGAGCTCATCCTGTACTACTGAAAACAGAACCAAGAGATATGAAAAAGAGGAAATTAATATCTCTCACACACCTGGAAATGTGATAGATAATTTGCATAAATTAATTTACTCCACCTTACAGCTTGGAAAGGGATGTGGTAACATACCAGTTTCTTCACCTCAGGAAACAGAGAATCAGAGTTAAATAAAACCTTGTCAGTAAGTTTCAGAGCAGAGAATCAAACTTAAACAGGTCCAAACACAAGGGCCAAGCCATCCTATCATCCTGTCTCTGCAAGATTCCACCTTCCAGCTCCACTTAAGAAGACTCAGGAAGAAGAAGGGCCCATAGCCCAGCTTTCCCCTGCCCCACCCATTCAGAAAATATTAATGCTAATCCATTCTATGACCAGCTATGTGAATGATGCCTCTTTGATAACACATGACCTAGGAAGGGAGGGCTAGCTTCCAGTGAGCTGAACTGTGCTGATAGTCTTCAAGTTTTTTCTTGTTCCCAAGTCTTCTTCTTCAAACTCTTATGAAGACCACAAATACAAATAAACAAAAATTGGAAAAATAGAAGAAAGGTTCCTCATTGAATCTAAAGCAAGGGCCCCAAGCCCTCCACCCTCACACTTCAAAAGTCCCCCAGATGGTCTCCAAAGGCCTCATCCCTGAGATCTGACAACTGCTAGGTACAGTAGTCTTTCAGTTACATTGTAGCTTCCCCTCATGGGCTACCCTGACCTCCCCAAGCCTGGGCATGAGCTTGTCTACCACTCGTCCACTTGCTCACACTGCCATATCCCAGCCAGCCTTCCCTTTGGCACTCATGCCAGGCTTTGAACCTGCTTTCCCTGAACCCTGAAGACCCATGATCTTCCACCTCTCCTTTGTTTAGGAATTAAGCTCAACTAACACTGCCTCAAAGGGGCCTTCCTGGATGACCCAGCTGCAAGAGTCACTATCCTCACACTTCCATGTCTTTGTAATATATATCACTCGCTGAAATTATTTGAACATTTTGAAATTTCTATTTCCTTTGGTAGCCCTGAGACCTCTTCTAGCTTGTATACCTAGAATGGAACTTGGCAGGTGTTCCACAAATATCTATTGATTATAAATGTGGTATCATTTGAAGCCGGGCACTGATGAAACACTTCACAAACATTATTTCATTTAATTCCCACAGAAGACCTAGGCAAACAATATTCATCTTCCCATTTCCTGGGCCCAGAACACCGAAAAGAAATTAATTGCCCCAAGATCATATGGTTAGGGAGTCAAAAGACTCCATAAACTACTGTACTAGTTTTAAAGTTAAGAATGGGAACTTCTGGGTCTGACTGCTCTTTGAAACCCACTTTCACCTTCCCTAGCTGTGCAGCCCTAGCTTATGCAACTTACTTTACCTATTGGATGTGGGTAGGTATATACCTTCATATATTGATTCACTTCTTATAATTTTGTCCTCAGAAGTATGTGTTCATCTGGGATACCCATTTCTGGATTGGGTCTTTAAATTTTGGGACCCTGATGCTTTCTAGTTCTTTATAAATTCTAGAGAGAAGACCTTTGTCTGAGTGCTTATTAGTTACGATTTTTTCCAAATTTGTGGGTTAAAGATCTAAACATTAAAACAGAAACACTAAATCTCCTGGAAGAGAAAGTAGGAGGAACTCTTGAAGACATAGGGGTTGGCAAACAGTTCATGAAAAAAATCAAATCACATGGGTAATACTTGAAAGAATTAACAACTGGGACCTCCTCTTATTGAGAAGTTTTTGCACGTCAAAAGAAATTGCCAACAAAGTGAAAATACTTTACCTCGCAGAACCCCAGTAAGTCTGAGTCAGGTGTCAATAAGTGATAAGTGATACCTACTTCACACAGCTTGTAAGGCTCCAATCTGTTCTGCCTGGAAATCCCATGGCAGGAAAACCAGTAAATGTTAGCTGCTGCTATTGGGTGGCACATCAGGCCTTTGAACTTGGATCTATCTAGGCCTACTGCTGGGGCCTTGCTCGTACATTAAATAGTCTTAGGGTCTTCCTTCTCCAGCCCCCTTCCACTCCATTATGAAGCAGCAGGATTTTTCCTCTCCTTCCTAGAAAAGGAAATGAAACCCCTCCTCTTTGGAAGTGCACACTCCTTCTTCAAGCACACCTCACACCTTCATCGCCCACATCTGCCCTATGCTGGGTGTGAGAGACAGAAAAAGAAGTCTTCCTATGCATCCCCCTCTCCTCAGGGACTGGCAGCTTCCCAGCCTCCAAGGTGCGAAGTCCTGGCTCCCCAGCAAGCCTCCTGCTGGAAACTACAAGTTAAAACCAGCAGCAAATGCTGCCAGCCTGTTTCCGGTTCCTTCCTCCATGTGGAAACTGGAATCAGAGAGCCAGGTCTCTGGGACCCCTCACCCCTCAAATGCAAAAGGAGCTGGTGCCCATCCTCATTCCTGGTGCTTGACAAGTCCACTGGGACTCAGGCCAGCTCTGAAGTTTCATGCAGCTGACAGAGGGCTTGGAGTCCCCAGCTCCATCCTGGTACCGGGCCATGTGAAGGTGTGGGATCATTTGTTCCTGCAGGCCTGGAACACATCCTGTGTCTCAGCACTTCATCATGTTGCTCTGGCTCCCTCTGAATATGAGGCCAGAGGTGGTCCCATGATAGGAAAAAATTCCCAACCAACCAGAGACAAAGAGGCCACTTCTTGGAAATGTGCTCACAGAAGGGGTGTTAGGTGGGAAGGAAAAGGAGGAGCCCCCCCACACACACACACACCAAGGGACTCCTTCGGTTCCCCTCCCACTCTACTTGGGGAATTGGCGGTTTGGGTGCAGAGACAGACAAACTGCACCTCTCTGTCCAGGGCATAGCAGTAAACACAACCCAGTGTTCCTGCCAAGGAAGTATCACTGGCCAACCAAGCAGGTGGTCCTGAATTGAAAGGCCAGAGCCAGCAGAGGGCCTGGAAGACATGCTTGGATTTGCTAACAAGGTCTTGCTGCAGAGGGAAGGAAGAGGAGTGTGTGAGAGAGAGTGCATGTGCATGCGTGCGTGCATGCGTACATGTGCATCCGTGTGTGTGTGTGTGTGTGTGTGTGTGTGTGTGTGTAGGGGGATCTTTCAGGAAAGCCAGACCATCCTCAAATCCTGAACTTATCTTCCTCCCTTGCACATTGCTATAGGTTGAAATAGGGATAGCTGGAGAGATTCGGCTTCTTTAGAGACAAAAGGAAACGTGCATCAATTTCTAAACTAATAAGAGAGCTGGAAGACTCTCAGCCAAAGCAAACACCCGCAGCATTCACACAGAGATCTTGTCATCTCCACATCAGAGGTGGGAGGGGGTGGCAGGAGAGAGACACAACACACTTCTGAGAAGTGGTTCCGTTTTGTTTTACTTTAATCCTTCCTCTTAGAAAGAAAAGGAGGACTTAACCATTCAAGCAGACAGAGGCATTTGCATTTTCTTTTCCACTTCCAAAGATGCCTGGTCTGTGAAGGCAGGCAGGGACTCAGAGTCACTCAGTCACTGCCTCCCTACGGAGCCCTGAAGAGGCCCACTTTCTTTTTCTTTTTCTTTGTTCTTTAACTTTTTTATCTCTATTTTTTTTGTTTTTTAAAGAGAGTACAAATTAGAATTAAAACAGAAAAATTTACAAGTGATACAGAATTTCACTTAACAAAGTAATACAGATTTCACAGTATTTGTTGTAATACATAGTGTTATCTTCCAACCAGTTATTTTTTTAGAGACATTTATTCAGTGTCATGATCAGAATATTACATTTAGCAATCAACAGCATGGGTGCAAAAAAAGGTCTACATTAAAACCCTTTGTTAGAATGCTTTACATTTTCCACCAAACAGAAACTAAAATAACCTGTTATACAATTAATCACAAATACAGTCCTCGAGTTTTTGCCCATGTGCTGCATGAGTATTGTCTAAAACATGTCTTTTTTGTAGCAGCTGGGCCCCGCCACCACTGTGCCTGGCTGGGTTCACAAATCCGCTATAACCTGTAGCTTCCCTGCCACTTCTCCGGCTCTCCTCTCCTGCTAAGCTTTGTTCCCTGGATGTGTTTAAATCCTTCTGCCACTGCCATAGCTACTGCTGCTGCTGGAGCCACCAGAGCCACCTTGATTCCGTGGTTTGGTAAAATACTGGCCTCCACCACCACAGGGCCCAGAGCTGCCTCCAAAGTTTTCTCCCTTCATGGGTCCAAAATTTGAAGACTGACTACTGTAATTGCCAAATTCATTATAGCTTCCACCGCCTCCATAATTGCTTCCATCATTACCAAATCCATTGTAGCCATCTCTGCTGCCACCATATCCACCACCACCATGGCTGCCACCAAAGCCACCTCGACCACTGAAGTTTCCTCCATGACCGAAACTGTCATTGCCACCAAAATCTCCTCTACTACCACCACCAAAGCTTCCAGAACCACTTCGACCTCTTTGGCTAGATGAAACGCTAGCCATCTCCTGCTTCAGTAGAGCTTTCCTCACTTCACAGTTGTGGCCATTCACAGTGTGGTATTTTTGAATGACAATCTTATCCACAGAATCATGATCATCAAAGGTTACAAAAGCAAAACCTCTCTTTTTTCCACCACCTCAGTCGGTCATAATTTCAATCACTTCAATTTTTCCATATTGCTCAAAATAATCTTGTAGGTGATGTTCTTCAGTATCTTCTTTAATGCCACCAACAAAGATCTTCTTCACTATTAGGTGGGCACCTGGTCTTTGTGAATCTTCTCTTGAGACAGTTCTCTTTGGTCCCACAGCTCTTCCATCCACTTTGTGTGGCCTTGCATTCCCAGCTGCATCCACCTCCTCCACAGTGGCATAAGTGACAAATCCCAAAGCCCCTGGAATGCTTGGTGTTTGGGTCTCTCATAACCACGCAGTCTGTGAGTGTTCCCCA